TCTGAAGATCTGAGCACCGCTTGAAAGAAAACGAAGGCGCGGCAGGTTGTAAAAAGAACAGCCGCTGCGACACAGCTCGCGTAGATTCCGATATTTTTTCTGTCCTTTTGCTCTTCGTGAGGCAACGTTGTTAGGAAGGAAAGACATAAATCGGGTAAAACCATTATCCCTATAAAAATAGATATAAATATAACGTTAATTCATATTTTATGACTGGCTCCGCGAGCGGCTAAAAGGGTGCGCTAATAGTGCTGATTCGCTATCGGAGCAAGGGGACTGAGATGGGCCCGCAACTGAGAAAACGGTTCTTAGCCCGAAAAGTTGTGTTCCATGTCCCATTTACTTCCCAACCATATTTTCCTAAAGCTTGCAAATGGTAAAGAACCTTTTTTCAAGCTTCAGGAAAATATGGTTGGGAATTAAATGGGACATGGAATACAACTTTTCGGGCTAAGAATTGTTTCCTGTGTTGCCTTTTGTTCCCCTGTGTTACCCTTTGTTCCCCTGTGTTACTCTGTGTTACCCTGTGTTACCCTTTGTTACCCTATGTTACCCTTTGTTACCCTATGTTACCCTGTGTAACCGTTTGTTCCCCTGTGTTCCCCTTTGTTACCCTGTGCTCCCCTGTGTTACCCTTTGTTCCCCTGTGTTACTTTGTGTTACCCTGTGTTACTCTTTGTTACCCTGTGTTCCCCTGTGTTACCATTTGTTACTCTGTGTTACCCTGTGTTACCCTTTGTTCCCCTGTGTTCCCCTATTTTACTCTGTGTTCCCCTTTGTTCCCCTGTGTTACCCTGTGTAAGTCCTTTATCGACCAAACTTTTGTTCGGTCAAGATAGCTGGGTTTTGGCCTTGTGGGCCTTGACGTCGTCACCATCTGTGCAAACGCAAGAAAAGAACTTCACCAATATACAACTGCACGAACCCAGGCTATTGTAAGACAGCCATCCAGCTTGAAAACTGTTGTCCCGCCTTTCCTCCCGGCCCAACTGACTGCCCTGGGTCTCCGAGGATATGGGACAACTAACCTATGGCATCTGATTTTAATGGTCTTACCAAAGGCTTTTCACAGAGACTTTAAAGTTACGAATCTAACTCTTATACATGAGAACTAATAAGCTTTGTTTGACCAATGTATAGACGTCCTCTTACCTTGGGAAAGGATAAAAATGATGATCAATGCAACTAAAGCAACAGGATTTAATCCTGCCCTTAAATAGTCCCAGTACAGCTTGAAGGACACAGTGCCAGTCACACGATCTTCCTCTGGAGTGGCCATACTTCTACTAGATTTGTCCAAAATGTTTTCTGACCTGTCCCACTGAGAAGCCATGGATTGTCTTTCAAGCAATAGTGTGTTCCTGGCTTCATTGCCTATTCTGTTACAACGAGGCTCTAAAAAGTCTTTTACTGCTTCGTCTTCGTGAAGTTCCGCAAACTTCCCCTTAGCGATAACTGAGCCGTCGCGCAAGATTATTACTCGATCTGCCGATTTGATAGAGTACTCCTTGTGTGAAACCATTAGTCGGAGTTTGTCTGACAGCATCCCCAGGATGCAATGTTTGAAGATGAAATCACCGACATTTGCATCAATTGCAGCCAGCGGATTGTCCAAAAGATAGATATCGCAATCAGCATACACTGCGCGTGCCAAACTGACACGAGCTTGCTGACCACCACTTAGGGTGTTTCCGCGTTCACCGATGACAACTTGATCTCTGTCAGGAAACCTTTGAATGTCCTCTTCTAACGCACAAGCGTGGATTGTTTGAAAGTACTTTTCAGACTGGAATGGCCGACCAAAGAGAATGTTTTCTCTCAATGTCCCCGAAAATACCCATGGTATTTGTGGTACGTATGCAATGCTGCCAGATACCTCGATATTTCCTGCAGTAGTCGGCATTTCACAAGCAATTAAAGATAACAAAGTCGACTTCCCACTTCCCACCGGACCGGTAATGACGGTCAAGGTCTTATCTCTTGCTTCAAA